CTGTTCAACCAAGAAGACAGAAAACGTAGAGGCAAATTCAGGCTGGTGTCAAATTAAAGGCATGCTCTATGAAACTCAGATGGTTATGACTATATTTCTCTACATGTATGCACAGACCCGAAATGGGAAGATCTCAAAGCTGACAGGTCTATCTTCCTTTCATGACACAATTTGTTCTATTTGGGACAGAGAAGACTGTTTGGGGTGCCAGTACCTCTCATTCAAGATTGGCAACTCCGCCATCAGGAGGAGGAAGACTGAAGAATGGAGGGGTTACTAAGACAGCTGGGAAGACTGAGGAGAGCAGATTGTGGATCTCCTCCAGCTCAGTGGTGTTTAAGTGTGTTGGTTGTTAGGGATCCCCAAAGATGCAGGAAGATAATGTATGGTAGAGACAGCTGTCAGGCTCATGGGAAGATACTCTAGCTGGGTGCAGTCCTGAGATTCAACCCAGGACCTCACTTCTAAGCAAGCGTCCACCCACAAACCTTGAATGTCATTCTCAAGGCCAAGGATCCCAATGTGATTGATTTTAACAGGTAAACTTCAGAACTAGCGCTTCAGTGAAGGCCATGCTGGACTGCAAACGGACGACCACTGCACTGTGAACCCACCATTCTAGTCTAGAAGAGTGGGCTGGGCCTGTTTCTAGGCAACTACCACCTGTGGCTTCTTTAGCAGCGACATCCAGAGAGTACAGCTTCCATGTCACCACCGTTGCTTTAGTACAGCTGCTGTGTACACACGTCAGTTCTTACAACCAAGTGCTCTAAGAGCGCAGCTTTCTCCTTGTTTTTAGGAAACGGTCTCTGAAAAGGGCCCGAGCTCCTAAAGCCCAATGATGGTGCATAAATTACTTTTTACTGTAGCACAAATGGAAGGTTCAGCTTTCCCAATTATTTTTAACCTTCCAATACATTTCGAGCTTTTATGCAAAAATGCTCAAGACTGCTCTCTTCTTCACAGCCGCACACAGCACTGCTGGGAAGTGAAAACACTCAGGCCCCCCTCCCCAACAGGAGCCTCTCTCAGGCTTCCACAGTACACATTTAGATAGATACCTTCTGTCTTCTAGTTCTACGGTCTCTAGAAAACTCAGATCAAATGACAACAATAAGACAAGGAACAAAGAAAACAAATAGTTCTGTACAAAAAAGTGAAAGTGTAAGAATCCATGTTTTGTAAACACTACCATTACGCACAGCCTTGGAAAGTTTACTATGGACTGAGAGCTCTGCAGCGCCACTCCCCACTGCAGACATGCTCTCCCTTCCGTGGTCCACACGGATGCTGCCCAGACTGGAGGATAAGGAAGAGCTCTGATGCCCCTGAGGGACTTAGAAGGAGGCAGCAGGGGATGAGAACCAGAAAGGAGAGAGTCTGAGGGGAACAAACGATAGAACTATGGAGATCTTTGTCCTGAAAAGTGAGGTAGGTACAGGCTTTCTGACTATCACTGCTTAGCTAATTCATCCAAGGTGCCTTGCTGTGGCCATGAATCCAGACTCTGTGCTCTGTTCCAGCAAGCTGAAGTGGGCTCTACTACTGAGAACTCAAGAACAATGGCACTGGGTTTTGATCCGACTGCACGTACTGGCTTTATGGGAGCCTAGGCAGTTTGGATGCTCACCTTACTAGACCTGGATGGAGGTGGGTGGTCCTTGGACTTCCCACAGGGCAGGGAACCCTGATTGTTCTTTGGGCTGACGAGGGAGGGGGACTTGATTGGGGGAGGGGGAGGGAAATGGGAGGCGGTGGCGGGGAAGAGACAGAAATCTTTAATAAATAAATAAATAAAATTAAAAAAAAAAAAGAAGAGAAGCCAGGTATCAGGTACTGCTGCAGTTATCAAGCCAACAGAACCACCTGCAAAATATCCAAGCTCATCACATGATGTAGAGGTCCCTTGACTAGGATGACACCGACAGACAAAGTGGAAATGAAGGCAGGCACCAGGTGCACTCCGAGGTCACTGCCTTAGGTGGCATCACTCAGGACACTGCAACCCATGGGGCACAGAAGAGGGTCTGATGTGCACTTGATGTCTGTGCAGGCAGGCCAGCTTCTGCAACACAATTCTTGGACTGCAACTCCTCCAGGGCAGCAGACCTTGAACTCCCTTGATCCCCACACCACGATGGTGCTGAGATTTCACGTGGATGAAAAGCAAAGCTACTGTTAGGGCCACCCCAACAAGGCCAAGGCTTGACCTTCTAGAAGTTTCTAGTGTGCTGGTGGTCTTGCCAGTCTTTGAACTGGAGGCCTGAAGCTCTCTTGTGCTGAAGCTTCCCTCAGATCATTCCTCTCATCTTCAAACACCTTCTGTTCCTACGGACTCCATACCGTGGCTGGCTGCACCCTCAGTGGTCCTGCCAGTTTGGATGTGAAGATGGAGGGGCCGGGAGGTTCTCTGCTCCACTGCTCAGCGTCAGCCAGCACTGACACCTTCACGGGGCATTTACACTCTTGTCCTCTTCTTCTTCTTCTTTTTTTTTTTAATATTTATTTATTTATTATGTATACAATATTCTGTCTGTATGCCTGAAGGCCAGAAGAGGGCGCCAGACCTCTTTACAGATGGTTGTGAGCCATCATGTGGTTGCTGGCAATTGAACTCAGGACCTTTGGAAGAGCAGGCAATGCTCTTAACCACTGAGCCATCTCTCCATCCCTCTTGTCCTCTTCTCTCACAGGGTTAGCAGCTCCTGGAACCCTCATTCATTCACTTCACTAGCATGCGTGTGTGCTGGCTAAGTACCAGAGTCCTGTGTTAGAGCTTAGGTAAGGCCCAGCTGCAAAAGGCCTGGGACGTGGTAGAACCTTTAAGAAATGGAGGCCAGCAGGAGGAACTCACTTGGGTTGCCCTTGAAGGGTCATTAGGTCCCCAGCCTCCTCTTTTCTCTGCTCTTGTTTCCTGGCTACCATGAGGTGGAGGAGTAGAATACCTCACCATGTACTCAAACTTGATGACCTGCCAGAGCCCTAAGGAAACAGGGCTAAGTGACCATAGACTGAAACCTTGGAAATCATGGGCCCAAATAACCCTTTCCTATTCCATAAGCTGATATATTCAGACACCATGGCAGAACGTCAGCCACCCAGGGAGAGTGGAAAGCAGTGAGCAGGCTCCATGCAGTCTGATTACGTGGAGTCATGCAGGAACCTCTGCTCTCCCCTCCTCTAGATCACACCACTGCTCTCACCTCTCCCCTCTAGATCACACCACTGCTCTCCCCCCTCCCCTCTAGATCACACCACTGCTCTCCCCCCTCCCCTCTAGATCACACCACTGCTCTCCCCTCTCCCCTCTAGATCACACCACTGCTCTCACCCCTCCCCTCTAGATCACACCACTGCTCTCACCCCTCCCCTCTAGATCACACCACCGCTCTCACCTCTCTAGATCACACCACTGCTCTCACCCCTCCCCTCTAGATCACACCACCGCTCTCACCTCTCTAGATCACACTACCACCCTACCCCTCCCTTCTAGATCACACCACTGCTCTCACCCCTCCCCTCTAGATCACACTACCACCCTACCCCTCCCTTCTAGATCACACCATTGCTCTCCTCCCCTCTAGATCTCACCCCTCCTTTGCTCTTTGACCCTTTACCTAGCCTCAGTGGGTGCCTCAGGGCCCTTCTCCATTTACCTTGGCCCCTAAGCCTTTGCCCAGCTTCCTTGGTCAGATATTCATCAGTTCTTGGCACCCACTTACCCTCTAACCTTCTGTTCTTATGCTGTAGAGCCCTCCTCCTCCACATGACCACACCCACCCTGAATTCCTGTGTGCTTCTGCTTCCTTCATGAGGTGCAGGGTCACAGCTATTCATTACTCATCTTTGAGGGCACAGCGGGTGCTCACAAAAGCACCGTGCAATGAATGGGTTTGTACTTTTTCCAAATTCTAAAATAAAGCACTAAACAGATTATCATCTCATTTTTACTATATTTGTTAATTAAAAAAAAAAACAACTAGCAAGAACTTAAAACCTCAAACAGACTTACTTGAGTTTTTCTTTTAAAGTAAAATTTAAATATGAGATCCTTTTCATCTTGCTATCAACTGTGCTAATATAAATGAAGCAAATTAATTTTAATGCTCCCAGGTGTGTCACCATGGTTGACAGGATTCAACCAGATTTTATGGGATGGCATCTGACTTCATGGAAGTGAACACTGTGCACACATCCAGTTTTACAGGGACTTTAAGCTGTCATGCTGAAAAATGTTTATAAAACATTCATCAAAAATGCCTCCTTAATACAGTGCATTGTCTGAAGATGTTAGATGGCGCATGTTGTAAATGGATTCCTTTTCTGACTAACGTCATTTCCACGGGAAGCATTTCCCACTGCTCCACACGCAGTGTGTGGGTGGATAAAGAGCACTTTCTCTGCGCATTACTGCCTGATCTGAACACTTGGGAGATCGCTAATGTGCGGTGTGCCATATTTCCATGTCACACAAGACACATTCGTCTAAAATTACCCAACAGAGTTTGACACGGCAGCATTTTCCATAAGCAGAGCTTTCAACTGACATCTGCCACATAGGAACTTTGTACACGCTTTCTTCATCTTCATCCTCTACCCAGAAAGGAAAGGATAAAATGGCACGGACAAGAACAAGTCCCCCTCTAACTTAAATATGTTTATTTTATGTTCTTTGAATTAGAAAATTCCCTTTGTATCAGGCTCAAGTCGCAGCATTTGTGCTTTGTGTTAGATGAACATTTCTTGACTTATCCTTGAGAAATGGGCATTTTCCCCCAAGATTAAACACAGACCTTTCTTTACCCACCAGGGAAAACTGTCCCCCTACTTCACAACACTCACTCTTCAGGGCTTACCTGCGGCACTTGTGGCTGTACCCTATTTTCACCATTGCACTTCCCTCCCCTCCCCACTCTTCCCTCCTCTTCCTAGCCCTCCCCTCCCCACTCTTCCCTCCTCTTCCTAGCCCTCCCCTCCCCACTCTTCCCTCCTCTTCCTAG